TCAGAGGGCCATCAGTTTTATGTGAATTGATAGCCCTTCTCAATGTCATCGAATGATCATTAGAAACTTATAAATTAAAGAAAATAAAGAACCTTTTTTCTTCCATTACAATTCCCAAACCTATAATTACATTATAGAAACCAATCCAATGTATATAGCCGAATTTAATTTACATATCCAAATAGTTATTCATCTAACTCTGGTCGACCGGAGGTTGGGGCCGGTTAGAGTTAGATGACTAGTAGGAGGTACTTGGCCTACCGGCAGGTGGCTCTGTAGATGCAACATACTAATTGGGTGGTTTTTATGTAATGGCCAACTGTTGACCTCATTTTTTATAAGGTCTAGTTTCTTCTCTTTAGAAACATAGGATCTAACCATAGAACTTTCTTGTTGACTATCTTGTGGTTAACAGTCGACCATTACATAAAAACCACCCAATTCATATGTTGCATCTACAGGGCCACCTGTCGGTAGACCAACTACATCCTACTAGTCATCAACTCTGACTGGCCCCAAGCTCCGGCCGACCAACATTTCTAAATAGGAAAATTTACATGTATATCACTTAATTCATATATTCTTCATTCGATCACCCACTGGTCGGCGACCACCTCGCTTCGCCCAACCACCCACTAGCGAGGAACCATATCCAAATAGAAAAAAAATACATACATACCACTCAATTCTTGTATTTCCAGTCGGCCACACACTAGCCGGCGATCGACGCGGTCCAGCCGATCACCTCCTCACTCCAGCCAGCCACCTACAATCGGTCGCTCGCTGCTCCGACCGACCGCCCTTGCCTAGAAACCTTTCAAACAAAGAAGTTTTACATATACACCACCCAATCCTTATTTTGTCCAGTCAGGCATCCTATGGTCGTTCACCTCAAGTCTGATCGACTACCTCGTCGGCCATCTCTCTCACATGTCGGCCACCACATCTAACGACCACCTTAGCAGAAGTTTGAAAATTAGGGACATACAATTAAAACTAAAGAAATAAAAATAAATAAAATAACATAGATATTAAAATTTAGTATTTATACATAACAAAGTTGTAGAGACAAGACATGGCTAAAAGGAGAATAGCTAGAGGACACCGCCCGATAAAACGTTAGACGATTGACTCACACCAAAAAGACTAAAATACCATGTATCAATCCCTTTTAAAGCAAGGTTAAAGTTATAATTTTTGTTCTCCCATCATCTAAAAATAGGAGGTCCCTTTCATGTAAAGGAGCTTTTGGTTCCTCCTCTTGTAACCCAACTATTTAAGTCAAATAAAATGGATCTAAGAGCCTCGCAAACACTCTGTTAACCTCAATAGAGCAAGTCCTCCTCTCCTCCTCTCTCTCTTTCTTCTTCTTTTTCTCTCCCTCGACCAATACCCTTTATTCCTTTGGTGTGATCTATTGAACAAATCTATATTCAAGTTCTTAAAATGTGTGGTGATCATGGACTTGCCATCGACAAGAAGTGGAGTAATACCGAGGAAAAACCTCCATAGAGGCACTCCTAGCAAGAAGCACGAGAGAGAACTTACATAACAACATATCCAAAAATTGAACTCAAAGGAGAAAACCCTCCCAAAAAGAGAACATGATGAAGGAAATTGAAGGAAAGTATAGATCTCCCATGTCAACACTAGGGGACTTGGCCCTAAGTAGCGAAGTCACATTATAAGCATAAAATCGATAGTATAATGGCTCAAAAACTTTGTAGGCTTCATCATACACGCCGATCTTGATGAGATCTTATACTAACAAAGACCAACAAATCCTAAAAGATGAGAATTTTTATAAAAAATTATTAATCATCTCAGATCCACTGATTGACCATGCTCCTTGCTCCAAAGTCGCATCAACTTCAACGATGAGGTGTTTGAGAGTCTGTCAAACTTATTCTCTACAAGGCCTAAGCATTTCTCCGTCAAAGCCACACTCTTGATTTTCTCTAAAACACATGCCATATAATTTCCTCCCAACTCACATTTCACTGACTAACCACCAAAAATCCTTCCGATTAACCACTTCATGTTAACCAACTGGCCAACCCACTTCAGTGAGCACTTTATTCCAACAACAAGCAACCATTCATCACTGCTCTCCTCCAGCTCATCTTGCTTGGCGCCAAACCAAGTAAAAGAGCCTCTTTTTCTGACCTTCTTTGCTCCATTGTTCACTATGAAATCTCAATTGAAAGTGATTGATAACACAAGCCATATATCTCTTCCTTGGATTTTGTTCTCTCCTGCTTGCATTCCGTGAGAAAAAAAATAATAATTGAGGAATGGATAGACAAAGTTAGCCTTGAAAGAAGAAATCATCTGAGAAAGAAAGTAGTAACTTTAAGTTTATTAAGGGCTTCTATATCAAACAAGGAGAGTGTGAGCATACAAATCCTGTGAGTTTCATACAAATATCTGCGAAAAAGCATGAGCATTTTATTGGTCTTGAAGAACAAGTTTTGGCTTGAATGAGAACATGTGCTCCAATATAGCAACTGTTCAAGCACTTTGTTGGGACACCTCTCCAAAGTTTAACCGACTGGTTGACCGTGTCAGTCATTCGACGGACCATCTCGGCCAACCATCAGGGGCTTCCTTCCATACAGAAAATGCAATCACAATAATGAGAGACTCTTAAAGCTCTAGACGGTCCATCAATAATGAGATACTGGATTCAGGGGCTTTCTTTCATACATCTTCCAGTCGGGAGTTAATGCAAAATTATGTTGCAGGTAACTTTGGAAAGGTATATCTGGCTGATGGAAAAGCTCTAGACATGGTGAGAATGAAAGATGTTGATATTGCACTCCCTAACAAGAATAAATTGACTTTGCAAAAGGTCAAGCACGTTCCTGAGTTGAATAAAAATCTCATCTCTGTTGGGCAGCTCAATGAGGGTGATCATTCGGTATTGTTATCAGATAACACCTGGAAAGTTACCAAAGAAGCATTAATACTGACTCGGGGTAAGAAAACTTACACACTATATATAACTACAAGTTTACTCAGACGAGGACACGTAAGTCAGAGGTGCATTATGGGGAAGCAGAAGAAGGTCAATTTTCTGAAAAGTGGTAGAGCGCCAAATGTAGGAAAACCAGGCCTTGTACAGACAAATGGTGGGAACCACAGAGTTATGAAAAAATCTTGCAAGATGAGAATTCAAGCAAGTGAGAGCTGACCAAGAAGGTGGAGATGGATTTTCTACCAGAGAATCGGACTTGGGAGCTGGCAGAACATCTATCGAACTTCCACCATGGAAGAAGGCATTGCACAACAAGTGGGTGTATCAGGGGAAGACTGTGTTTGGTGGTAGTAAGAGCTACAAGGCTGGACTTGTTGAAAAGGGCTTTCAGCAGAAGTAGGACATTGCTCATGCAGTGGGAGTTGTAAGCAGATACATGAGTAACCCAGGAAAGAGCTTGCCGGTACAAGACTACGTTGACGGTGATATGTCAACTGAGGGTGTTACTCATGAGAAGCTGAAGTTGCGCTCAACTTCAGCTGGTCTTCTGACATGAAGAACAGAGTTTTGAGTTGCAGATGTGAAGGATATCGCGCTTGAGGAAAATGTCAGTACAATTAGTGATGCAACCAGTAGGTGATACAGTCAATGTCTCAGTCTCCAAATGAGAGAATTGTTGGGTAATATGGAGACCCGGTCTACCGAATTGATGTCATTTGGTAATGAAATCGACTGTAAAAAAATCAAATTGGCAAATAAATCCAACTATAATACCAAAAATATTTTGTTTTTCTTTAATTTTAAGTCCACATGAAGTTACTAGCCATTAACCACTTCGTCCTAGCCGACCACCTTGCTACTCCAACCACCCACTGGCTGGCCACCTGAAAAAACATATGATTTATCTAAATACCACCAATTCCATATGTTGCATCTAGAGAGCCACCTGCTGGCAGGTCAACTACCACTGGCCGACCAACTACCTTCGACTGGTCATCTACCTTCGACCGGCCCCAACCTCCAGTTGGCCTCCATCTTAAAATTGGAAAACATAAGATTCACATAAATACCACCCATCCAGATGGTTACCTACCGACATACGACCTACCTTTGATCGACCAACTACCCCTGATTGGTCATTTAACTAGGACCGACCACCAACCTCCAACCGACCACAATCTCAAAATAAGAAAATATAAGATTTACATAAATATCACACAATTCATGTGTTGCATCTAAAGGTTTGTCTGCCGGCTAATCAACTATCTTTGACCAGTCATCTAATTTCAATAGGTCGCCAACCTCTGGGTGACCATCCACTGGCCTGCAGCTGCCTCGCTCAGGCCTGCTACCCACTGGTCGGCCACCCACGGATGGCCTTCTCGCTGCTCCGGCCGACCACCATCTCATAGAAAAATTTACATACATACCACTCAATTCATGTATTCTCCAACTAACGACCAACTCGCTCTGATCGACCACCTGATCCACCTCACTCCGGTCGGCCACCCATTGACTAACCACCTTCCAAACAGAAAATATTTACATGTACACCACTCAATTCTTATTTTATCCAGTCGAACATTCTATGGCCGGTCACCTCACCGGCCGACCACCCCAAGTTCTGCAAAAGCTTGGGAATTAGGGACATACAATTAAAACTAAAGAAATCTAAATAAATAAAATAATAGAGATTAAAAACTAGAGGACATCACTAGATAAAAAGTCAACGATCGGCCTGATGGGTAGCTGAGTGAGAGACTCAGGAACACCAAGAATACTAACTATCCTGTACTAGCCACTTTTAAAGTAAATGTAATATTGTAACTTAATTTTAATCATGCTATCATCTATAAGTATGAGAGTTCTTTCATTTAAAGGGGCTTTTAGTTCCCACTCTTATAACCCAACTATTAAGTGAAATAAAATGTGTTTAAAAGCCCTGAGGACACTCTACTTATCCTCACGGGATGTGTTTCTATTTATCTCTCTTTCTCCATCAATATTCTCTATTCTTTAGATATGATCTGCTGGCCAGACCTAAATTCTACAGGTGTTCTCCCCAACTATCATTTTTGTCGCCGTAGCATCGGGGTCGTATTTTCGTTCCAGATTTTTCTTATTTAACTAACAATTTTTCTCACATTATAAAACGGATGATAAATGACGTGCCACGTGCCGTAGACATGTCACCACGAATTAAGTCGGCCGCGCAGCACAGTCCCGAAGTCTCCGACGTCGTCAGTAATGGCGGCCACAAATTTCTGCCGCCTTGCCACGACTAACTCGCCGACTTCCTTTATCGGCAAGGCGCCTCGTCGCCTAGTAAGCATCTATTTTAATCAATCTTACATATTTTTTCTACTATCTACCTTCGAGAGTTTTCTGTTCCAGTTGCTAGCACCTTAGGGTTCGTGGTTTATTTTTGCGATGGGTTTATCTGGTTTTCCCCTTTTTCCTGCAATTAGTATTACCATAGTCACAGTTTGAGGACTGTGATGGAGTGAGATTATTGTCTTTATGTTGTACAAAAAGTCTCACGCAGGTGTAAATCCAGAGCAACACACATTAGCCCGTTTTTCTTACATGAAAGACTATACATTTCCTAATACATGTATAATAATTACACTAATGGAATTTGATCACTATGAAGGGCGCCCTCTCTATGATTGGAGACTGCATTAATATGTTATAGTTGACATGAAATGTGAAAGATATTTTTAAGGTGAATGAAATGAATTGTCATCAACTGATGGTGAAGATTTAGTTTGGTCATTCTTAAGATTCTAAGTTTGATGAAGTAATCATTAATGCGCGTGTCATACGTTAATAGCCGATTATTGTCAAATGTTGGTTGGTGGCAGGTGATAGGTGGCTAGGAACATTTAAGTTAGAAGATGAATATCGGTCGATGTGGTTGCTATTTTGGTAGGAGGTGAGATAAGACCATGAAGATGGTTCGATTGGTAGTGTTTGATAGATATCAAGCATCAATTGTTGTTCGACATTGACTGATGCCTAATGAGGAATGTTGAAGGTTGGGTGACATCAGACAGTTAATTTGATTACATTCCCTATACGATAAGAGATTCATGTCAAACATCAGTCATTGGTAGGTGTCGACTGAGGGCTAACACTGAAAGTTGAAGCTTACGTGTAAACTCGGGTAGTTGATTTTGTTTCTTCTTTTATAAGAGAGTTGATTGGATGACTAGAAAGGTAATAATCAAATGTCATTCATTAATAGATATTGGATGTTGGCTATTGGTAGTTGCTAAATAATGGTTGATGAGGAATGTTGATGGTTAGGTGTAGTTAGATGATGGGCTTAATCACATTCCTTAGAGGAGAAGAGTTAGGTCAACAAAGAAGATGGACATTGGACATTGGTTGTTAGTTATTAGTTGTTGGTTGTTGGTAGGTGGCATATGATGGTCAATAATTTTGGAAGTCAAGTGAAGGGTGGCTTTGCCATTATTATGGTAGAAGACGAGATAGTTTTAATGGTAATTATATGTGGGTCTGTGGGCACCAAAATACACCGGTTTCTTGTGTTAAAATGTCATTATAGTTTAAATTTTTTAAAAGGCGGATTAAAATTAAAATAAAATACTGCCCAGAGATTTTAAAGGATTTCATTATATAGTCTTAGGTTTTCATAGATGCTAGCTCCCATGATTAGTTATGCCACCATGATGGGTGAAAACTTTTGATTCAAACTATTTGATATACATTAAATATTTAGCTTCTAGCAATAATGATTTGTTTAAGATAGAGGGAAATATAATATTCTTAATTTGGAGTGGATGATATGATGATAAGATAATGATGATAAACTCAGTCAATATTTTATGTTTCTGTCATCTGAGGTAAACATAAATATTGATTTACTTAGTTAGAGGAAATAGTTGATCCAACCTGATTTAAAAATCTATCAACAGTTAGGGTTGTATCGTCCAAGCAGATCTCATAGTCTTGGGGTAAAAATTTGCATTAGGATAATTTAAATTGAACTTAGCTAGTAGTGGGAGTTATGTAGTGTTCTTTATAATTCACCACTTAGAGGGTTGAACTATTAGTTAATTGAATTTATAGACTTTTAACGTGACCATAATTTAATGATGTTATTTTATGCTGAATCATTTGGTTATATGGCTTTGGACATAACCATACCTTTGTAGTACTATTTTGCGTAAAAGCACCTGAACAAATGACATGTCATGTCTTTAGTTCTATGATATTTCTAAGCATGATTATAATGATATATTTGATATAAATATTAGTTTTTGGTGAGTTTTTATTATCTTAAATTTATTACGCTGATAAATTTTTTGTGGATGATGGATATATAGTTATTCTTAGCCTAGAACTCTAGACTTCACTTGACTATTTTTATAATTTATAATTTTCTTAAATTTATATATCCTTCTCAACACTTAAGTTTGAATGATTTGCTTTGGGAGTTGGGTCATTTAAAAATAGTCCTTAGGTTAAAAAATTTGTCAATGCGACCATCATTGGGATATTTGAATTATTATAGTTGATTGTATTGAACCTTGTTGTTTCTTTCAGTTGCTTGGAGAGGATTAGTTTCATGATTTGTTTTTTTAAGCTTGTTTAAGCTTTCTTTGTATCAAGTACCTTATTGAATCAACTCCCATATGTAGAGATTTGAATGTGTAAGTATTGAATTTATGGAACGCTCTCTAAAATGGTCCAATATTTTATATTCTAGTGATAAATATTCTCTATTAAAGTTTTTGAAGGCTTTATTTAAATGTATAATAAAGTTTCTTGAGTGATATTCGTGATTGAGTGTTCGAGCATATGATGATGCTTAGTTTGCTTCATTAGATCGAGTTTGAATTAAAAATCATTCTGTTTATTGTGATCTATTTAGAAACATTAAATAAATGTCTATTATAGGAGCGCTTTTTCGGTCAGGAGACCTGACGGTCCGCATGGTACGCTGACGAATAAAATTTTGCCGCGTGGAAAATGTGGGACCCGCTTGTCCACGTAATTTAAAAAAAAGAAAAAAATTCGCTGAGGCCGACCCGACCCGATGTACGAGCCCGCGTCTATGAGTACCGCATTTTAGAATGTCGAGGAAGATGATTCGAAAATACTCTCAGGTGGTTTTTCTTCTACGTTTTCGCCGCTCGCTCTGCTAGGGTTTCACATTTCCTTCGTTCGCTAGCTTGGAAGCCGTGAGACGATGGCGTTTAATGATCCGGAGTATGCACAGGCCGAAGAGAGCTCAAGAACAGTATCAGAAGAGGTTGAGAAGACAGAGGTTGAGCAGCCAATGAAGTCAAAGAAGCAGAGGAAGAAAGAGGCGAAGAAGATGAAAAAGGGCATTGAAGAGAAAAACTTGTGCTGGTAATTGTCATCGTTTTATTCTCAAGTTATTTTTAGGTTATTCGTTTGATTATTATTGGGTTATTCTTGAGTTACTCCGAAACGTAGTACTTATTGACAGCTATTCCATGTTATTTATGTGTTTTTTTAAAATTATTCGTAGGTTATTTATAAGTTAGGCGTATCTTATTCGCTGGTTAAACCTGGGTTATTTTTAGGTTATTTGTAGGTTATTTTTCAAGTTATTTGTAGGTTATTTTTCAGGTTATTTGTAGATTATTTTTCAGGTTATTCGTAGGTTATTTTTAAGTTAACTCGTGGGTTATTTTTAGCTTATTCTCAGGTTATTCCTGAGTTATTTTTAGTGTATTGTTTTGTTAATTTTGAAGTAATGCGTAGGTTATTTTTAAGTTATTTGCAGATTTATGCGCAGATTATTCATTGGTTATTCCTAGAGTATTTTTAAGTTATGCCAGATTATTCGTAGGTTATTTTGGTTATTTGTATGTTATTTTTAGTGTATTATTTTGTAAATTCTGAAGCAATGCGTAGGTTTTTTTTTAAGTTATGAGTAGGTTATTGCTAGGTTATTCCTGACTGATTTTGAGGATATGTTTAAGTTATTTTTAGGTTATTTCTAGGTTATTCCTGAGTTATTTTTAAGTTATTTGCAGGTTTATGCGCAAGTTATTCATAGGTTATTCCTAAGGTACTTTTAGGGTATTGTGCGTATGTTATTCGTAGGTTATTTGTACGTTATTTTTAGTGTATTGTTTTGTTAATTCTGAAGTAATGCGTAGGTTTTTTTTTAAGTTATGAGTAAGTTATTGCTAGGTTATTCCTGGCTGATTTTGAGGATATGTTTAAGTTATTTTTAGGTTATTCCTAGGTTATTCCTGGGTTATTTTTAAGTTATTTGCAGGTTTATGCGCAGATTATTCATAGGTTATTCCTAGAGTGTTTTTAGGGTATTGTGCGTATGTTATTCGTAGGTTATTTGTACGTTATTTTTAGTGTATTATTTTGTTAATTCTGAAGTAATGCGTATGTTTTTTTTTAAAGTTATGAGTAGGTTATTGCTAGGTTATTCCTGATTGATTTTGAGTATATGTTTAAGTTATTTTTAGGTTTTAAGTTATTTTTAGGTTATTC